TTTTGTGACTGGCTTATTTCACTTAGCATAACTGTCCTCAAGATTCATCTGTAGTGTAGTGTGTGTCAGGATTTACTTCTGTTTTTCAAGGCTGAATAATATTCCATTGTATATATGTGCCACATTTATTCATTCATCTGTTAATGGATACTCAGGTTGCTTCCACCTCTTGCTGTTATTGTGAATAGTGCTGCTGTGCACATGGGTGTATAGTTACTTCTTTGAGACTATAAAACTCTTTCCCTGAGATCTGTTAGCTTAAAGGAATAAACATCAATTATTTTTTCAAATAATTGTCTCTGTTCAGAATTTCCAAAGATCTTAATTTTATTTAATGGAACATTTTTCTTTTATATATAATTTATTCTCACATAATAAAATTTGTATTTTGGTGTGGAAGTGTAGTTGGTCTGCTTTTTTGACGTGATAAACCCCTGGAAAAATGTATATGATAAAGTGGAACAAGCTCCCTGAATGAAAAAGCTCATTTCATCTTGAAAGAAGAACTTACTGTATTCCTCAAATTGCCTAGAACTGTGAGTAACCTAAATGATAGACTGGAATCCAGGATACTACTGTATTTTGAAAGCAAAAGGAAGAGAATATTTAAAGAAAGAATGAACAGTGTCGAGTGCTTCTGGGCAGGCAAATGAGATGATTCATTGTCAGCTAGATTTCATAACATGGAGGTCACTGGTGACCTTAGCAAGGGTTGTTAGAGAGGAGTCATGAAGGCGGATCTCAGATGGAGTGAGTTGGATGAGTAGGAGAAAGGAAGTAATGGCAAATACAGACGATTTATTGAAACATTTGGCATTGAAAGGGAAAAGTAAGGATGATAGCAGAGGGGGCATGTAATTTTAGGCATAGCTCTTAGAAAGATAGGGAATTCCCATCTGAAGCTTCTGTTTTCTCTCTAGAGTAGAGTAGGTCACATGTTGAGAATTGTACATTAGGAAGGGGAATTAGAGTTTTGAGGAAGAAGAATAGAGTTCGACGGAGTCATTGTAGGGGATGGTTGCTGGACTTTTGAGGAATGACATTGTCCTTTGCAGCTGGGTGATGTATATTAAGGATAAAGTTAGACATCTGGTACTTGGGGAAAAATACTAACTTAACTATTTTGCTGTTTAATTGTATGAATTTAGTGAGTTCCTACTAACTACAATGTATTTGTGACTAAGACCGTTCTCATGTAGCAGGAGCTTATAAGCTTATAGGGAACAGTTATTTATCACATGCAATAAGAAGTACAAACAGTACTGAAACTTCAGAGGTCATGTCTGACTTCAGCAGAGATATGTCTTTAGGTATGGGAAAAATGTCAGTAAATGTTTAAGGAGAGGTTATAGGAGAGAAAGGACTTTGTGCTGGGAAGAATGGAGATAAAAATATGTCGGTACCATGTTAATGGAATGGTGAATAGTCTAGTTTGTCCAGAATTTCCTTGATTCAGAGTGTCTCTATCCAATATAAAACATTTCAAAGAAGTTTATGACTTTAAAGAAAATTTCATAAAAATATATGACCCCCTAAAGGAGTTTACATGCATAACTGTTTTAGGGAAAATTTATGAGTAGTCATTCAGTGTATAACGAGCTTTATTCAGCATTGTGATTTTCCAGTTTGGGTATGATGAATTCATAGAGCTCATTAAGTGTAAGTGTCATTGTTGTGATTCATTCAAGCCTTTTTCCTTTCTTCAGCAGAAGGTTAAAAAAAAATTTCAAATTTGAATCCAGGACTTGAAGAATGCCACTTGTCTAAATACAGTACCATATTGTGATAAATATAGCTACTGAAAATTTTAAAAATCTTTTCACAAAACTTTATTTTAATATTCATAGCAGAACTTTTTTTGGAATGTTATCTGAAAAACAGAGGACCATTTTATCATCAGAGCTGACTATTAATTAGGGTATTGTTGCAGATATAAAAGTTGATCTGCCACTGAAATTCTATTTGAATATGTATAGTTCCAAGCTTGCTTTGTGTATTTAATAACTTTAGTACCATAATTACTCTGTTTACAATTAAATTTTGGTGAATATGCTAATATGGAATATACCAGTGAGTGATTTCAGCAAAGGGCAGTATTGATTTGCATCTTGATGTGCTTTTCAATTGCATCTGCATTTCCTTTAATATCAAAGGAAAAGAAGTGGTCAGATTATGTAATGGATTATGTGATGCTAAATTCTTTTTTCTTTAAAACCTCTGTTGCATTGGCTACTATAATAGATTTGCATTGAGTCAGAGGGGGCTGTAATTATGTAGAAAGATTTAATTTTTGTTAAAGTTTGTGCCTTTCAGTGTATTCTTTAATAGAAACCTTAATGTGAGTATTGGTTTCATTATTAGAAGACACCTATAATGGACTAAAGTGATGGTTTAATTCAAATTAGTATTTTAAGTTCTTCAGAAAACTCACTAACTAACTGAAGCAAATACTTTTGGTTATGTTATTTCTTTGAACAGGGACTTCTGGTTTTAAATAATTCCTCTTCTTTTGAAATTGCCTGAAAAGCAACAAGGAGATTTAGAAACACTGATTTCATATTCTCAGAAACTGAGAAGCTTTTATATCTCTGAACCAGAAAATAAGGAGCTGCCAAATGCAGTGAAGGTCAAATAGGGTACAGGAGGATGCTGAAAGGGAACCTGAGACACAGATGTCAGAAAAGCTGGCAGAATTGTGTTCTCTAAAGAAAGTGGCACACCCTGAGAGGCACATTAATAAGCCTTTGTCTAGGAGAACAGGAATAGGTGTTGGCAGGCAGGGCCACTGGGGAACTTGGGTGGGATAAAAATGTTCTCTGTCTTGGTTGTCGCACAAGTGTATGTACATTTGTGAAAATTTATCAGTCTACACTTGTGCAAGCTTGTAATGTATTGTCTCTCACCTCCAAAGTCAGCCTCTTTTGATCTGTTTATATACTTGAGCTAGACCTTTTAAATATTTTTTCTTTTCCAGGACAATGTTAGATTTTGTCAGTAGAAGGTGAGGAAGGGATACTATGCTGCAAGACTTAGCAGAGGAAGGGCTTCTCTTGTTATAGTGTGCTTGTTTTTTGTTTGTTTCTCTTACTCTCTTAAGGTGTGGCTGTCAGCTCTGGTTATTCTCCTGTAAGCTTCATTAGCACCCTGGTAGGCAGCTTCTTGATCCCACCTGTGGATCAGCTCCAGCCCACTGGCCCTGAAGAGAACTACTCTACCACCCAGTGGGTCCCTGCCGCAGCCTGTCCAGTAAAGTGTTCTTGGGCACTCTCCCTTATCCTTGGAGACAATAACTGCTCCCTACATTTGCTAGTTCCATATTCCTTCAAGTTGTCTTTTACATCTATTAGCAGTTGACAACTTTTTACAGATTAATAATTTTTTGTGTTACATTTTCTCATTTTCTGTCTCCTGAATAAACTCTGACTGTTATAATACACTTTTGATTTGTGTAACTTACTGTGTTAATTTTACATAAATAAACAGGATGAAATAATAAGTATACTTCTTGATTAATTTCCCTAACAGGAACAAATTGTTTAAATACCAAGATTGGGATATAGAACACTATCAGATCCCTAGGAACCTTCCACCTCCAGCCATTTCTTCTGACTCTTAGTCCCCAAAATGGTATCTGCTGTTTGACTTGTATTGCCATTGATTTGTTTTGTCTATTATTGAAATTCATATAAATGGAATATAATATGTGCTCTTCTGTCTGGTGCTGCTTTTTCTTAACACAGTGTTTGGTATATTCATCTGTCTTACTATATTCATTTTCCTGTTGATGGACATGTGGATTTTCAGTTTGTGGCTGTTGTGAATAAAGCTGCTAGTGTCATTCTTGTACATGTCTTTGGGTGGACATGTATATGCATAGAAGTTGAATTGTTGGCTCAGTTAGCAGGTACTGCCAAACAAATTTTCAAAATGACTGAAACAGTGTAGGAGAATTCTGTTTGTTCCACCTCCTTACCAACACTTTGTATTGTCAGAATTTTGCAGCTGAAGGCTTCAAACCCTTAAGGAATAGATCAAATGCTGCTTAAACTCCTTAGATTATGGTAAAAGAAGAAAAGCTTCCAAAATCTTGTTATCAAATGAGCATAATATTGATACTAAAACTGATAAATGTAGCAGAAAAAGTAAACTACAGACCATTCTTATGAATATCAGTCTTGTCTGCGGCTATACCACCCTGAATGCACCTGATCTTGTCTGAGTATCAGTCTTGTTCCTAAATAAAATATTAGCAAATAGAATTCATCAGCACACTAAAGAAATTACAACCACCGCCAATTATAATATTTTTTTCTAGGAAGGTTGTGTTAAATAGCTCTATATGAGTATGTGGTATACCAGCTGCTTTTAAGTCTTTTGTGTTTCTCAAGATGTTAAAAGTTAAGTATTGAACAAATATTCATTAATCCATTACCATTGGCCCTGCTTATACCTGGCTGAAGCAGCCCCTGAGGACTGACAGGCCCATTGACTGCCTGAGGCCACCTGAGATTATAGGGGCCAACAAGAGGGAATCCTCCACATCTTTTGCCATTAGAAGCCACAGGAGGGAGTTTCATTTAGATATATTTTAAAGAAATATTTCTGTCATAGTGGCCTCTTGCAGAGCAACTGAGTATATTTCAGTGACTTCTTAACGTTTATGTGGAGCAGGTTTAGATGTGAGGGAAGTTTTAACCGAAGCACAAAGTGAGTTTCAAATGCTAGTTAATAAATCTAATTTTCTTTATATTCTTTTTCTTTTTTGCAAAGAAGCTATAATCTGGAATGTACATGTGAACAACTTTATACGAATAGTTTTTGTGCTTGGTTTACTTGTATTGGTATGATATGTTTAAGTTCTTAGAGACTGGATTTTCGTAGCACATACTGACTGAGGAAAAGAAAGAAAAAACAAAGCTGGATATCTATTTGGAAAAAGCTAGACTTTTCCTTCATGTCTTATAGTAAAATAAGTGTAAACAGATCAAAATGTTACCAGCAAAATATGAATCATAAAATAACCCAAAGAAAACATGGGATGTTAAAAATACATAATTTGACTGGGGGATGTCTTTCTGAGGGTAACATGAAATCCAAAGCAAAAAATAATGCAAAATAAATAGTTACTAATAAATAAATTGGGAAGACTCTTTGCAAGACACAGAGGTACTCTGTTTAATATGCAACATATAAAATATGCCTGTAAATAAAAAGCAAGACTAATAATTCAAAAGAAAAATGGGCAGAGGTTACTAATGGTTTACAAGAAATGAAATACAGATTTTGCTTCTGAGTATATTCTTGTAATTTTTTTTTTTTTTTTTGAGGGGGAGGTGGGAATGGACTGGGCAGTCTCATTGAGTATGAGAAGATTTCCAGTTTTGATCCCTTGGTGATTATTAATAGGAGCAATAATTATTTTGTCAAAGAACCTGGTTTCTTTTCACAGGAAGTGGTATTTCAAGAATGCAATTTGTGCTAGGGATGCTCTTTGCTGTTGGGTTGATTATTGTTTCTAAGCTTTTTAGTGAATGGGGCCAGGACATACAAAGATGTGTTCGTTTGTATGTGATTATTTTAAAGATACATTCTGAATTAAAAATATTTCCAAGTACAGTATTTTTAACTGTACCTCTTTTTTTTTTATCTCTGTCTCCTTTCTTCCATATCTGAATCCTGATTTTTAGGGACACAAGGGAATGATAGAATAATAATATCACATCATTCTCATTTGCATCCTTCCACATGTATGCACACAATAGTCTTAGTTAACAAAAGCAAGTATCACAATATGATTTCTGGAAAGTTGCTTTTTTTTTCCCATATGTTATCCCATTTTTTAATAGTCGTACTGTATCTATAGTGTCAGTACATTTTTCCATTATATGCTCTATACTCTTTTTTATAACCCTTGTCGAGTCTCAGTTCTACAGGTATATATGTACTACTCACTAATACTGACATTTCTTGAGCCATTTTGGATATTTCTATGGGAGTGGCAGACCCTTTCTGCTGGACTTCTTTTCTGGTGTATTCTTACTGCTGTTTTCTATATTGATAACACTTAGCAATCTTTATACTTGAAATTTAGTTGGGTATAAAATCTTTGGTTCATGTTTTCTTTTCTTGAGCCTTAAATATTTTACTTTTCCCCCTCGGCATAAAATGTTGCTGTTAAAGTGATGACAATTTGATTTTATTTTCCTTATAAAATACCTGCGATGCTCAGAGAATATTTTCATTTACTGTTAACTAGATTGTGTCTTAGTGATGGTCATTCTGGGTCGATTTTTGACCTTTTAAAATGTAGTTTTATGGTTTTTAAAAATTAAGTTCAGGAAAGTTTTCTTTAATTAAAGGATTTTTAATATTCTGCTCATTTGCTTTGATTTTCGTTGTTATATGTAAGTTTTTTTTTTTTTTTTTTTTTTTTTTTTTTAATATTTTTTTTTTTTTTTTTTTTTTTTTTTTTTTTTTTCTGTTTTCTTAAACATTTTTCTTTTGGTCCTTTTTGATTTTTTGTTTTTTCCTTTCACTTTCTATTTCTCTTTCATTAAAAAGTTTTATTTACTTTTATGTTCCTTCTACTTTAGTTTTTATTTCTGAACTGATTTTTGTCTTTCGTTTTCAATTATTCTATCATCTGATTTCTGAATTTTTCAAATTCTGATTGATGTTAGTCTGTATACAAAGTGTTTTTTAGCTTGTTTTGAAATACTAATTTATAGCTGTCAACATTTTGGGAGGCATGTTTTCTTACGTACTTTTCTGAAGGGCTTTTTGTTTTCAATACCAGCTTATTGTAGGACTAGGCTTTGATCCGTTTTTGTTGCTGAGTTTCATATGCAGCCAGTTTTCCCTTATATGCAATTAGTATTAGATGGTTCATGGCGAGTGTATGTCATTTCTTTAGATCTCACTCCACTTGTTTTTCTGTAGTATTCCAGAATACTGAGGCTAACTTATAGATTCGCTTTCATTTGAACTTTCTTTTCCCTGTATTTCTATTATCCTTGTGATGCTCATTTTGGCTTTATCCCTAGGAGTTTCTGATGCTTTGACCTAGAAGGGACCTTGGCGAGTTAGTTTTGAGAGCTGTAGAGGCAGCAGGCTTCAGCCTCTTCAGACCTCACCACAGACCCCTTACACTTCTGGCTGTGGGAATGGCAGACCCCTTCTTGTTTCAGTTGCTGTTCTCATAGTGTCTTGTGTGCTTCTGACAAGTGGCTCTTGGCAATTTTGGGATTCTCAGATTTATCAGAGGCATCACACTTCTTTCTGCTTCCTTCTTTGCAGTTGCTGATACCACACAGAACCTGTTGCTGTTTGTGGTGATTTGTCTTCACCTGCTCAAATTTTGGGATTTATAGAGATAGGGGAGGGGATACTGTCCCTCTGTTTGGTTGGAGAGGTTATTTATGGGTTTTGAGTTTCACTCTCCAGTTGTCCTGTCCACTTTTATCGGGGAATTCAGGGAGATGAAACAGCTGTGCTGCTGCCTCCACCATGTGCAGTGTTAACCTTCAGGAGCAGTGATTTATAAGCGTATTCAAGAGACTGACAGTGATGATGCTGTTTTGTGGGACTATTTTTAGGAAAGAAAGTCATTCCAAGCCTTAATTAATTATTACAATTAGTTTCAATTAGTTGGCTACAGAAATAAAACTAATAATAAAAGCAAACAGTTTTATTTGGAGGAAAATCACTTTTTATTGACCACAATTTACATTGAGTAGATGCTGTGCCAGAATATTTCATTTAAAATATGATATTTTTGTCACTTGTGGAAAGGAGTTTCAGAAAAACACAAAAGGTTGTCCAGTCACTATTTTGAGACATATACAGATAAAAAACATGTTTTTCCTTCATTTTAAACTATTTTGATTACTATAAAGAAACAGTCAAATAGGAGAGTACTCTGACGATTTGATAAAGTTGGATAAAATTCAGAAGGGTGTCCATTTTAATATTTGGAAGTACTGTGTGTTTTAGTTGTTTCTTTTATTTGGTTTACTAACATAGGTGTAAAAGTAACCTTTTTTGGTGTTTTGTGTCTAGGCTCTCTTGGTTGGCACTGAAATTCCATTTTACAAGATTTTATCACGATTAAAAACACATTAATTAAGAGAACTAATTGATATGAAGAAATAACAGATATATTTGTTTATTTTGAAGATGTTTTTGTTAACTTAGAGAAGATTTAGACAGCAAAGATGCATTAGTATTCTATAGGAAAAATCCAATTTAAAAATCCCCAGTAAATTAATAAGGAACATTTGCAGATAAGGAGTTTGTGTATTTGGAGTGACGGTGGGTGAATTGCTGAAAAATTCCAGTTGAATGTAGTGTGTATGTAAGTAGCATATCTAGGCTGAAGACTGAACTACAGACTTCTTTCATCTGAATAGCCATTTCAAGTGTTTACTGATTCTTATTAACCTTCTTTCTTTATGTGTCTCCAGTATATTTTTAGGGAGCTATGGAATCCTAACAAGTATTTATTTTAAATCTTTTTTGATTAATATTTGTAGAACTGAGAGTTTGAAATCACACAACACATACACGTTCACCTGCATACAAATACAAATTGAGTTCCTTCAGTCAATGAAGTGAGTTATACCTGAGGGCACTTCAAGCCCGGCAAGAAGTGACTTGATCAAGATTACCCAACAAACTGGTGTCATACCTGCAATCCAGGTCTTTTGATTTCCAGTCTGCGCTTTTTTCACAATAAAACACCACTTTCTCTGAAAGTTACTATAAACTTATGTATTAGAAAAGTGAATCAAGATTCAGCTCCTAAAGGACAGTTAGTGAGAAAGGAAGCTTAGGAATGCTGGATGTCACCAGCTTTGCCCAGATGCCTAAGCCACAGTTTTTCTTGTCACTCTTGAAAGTTGTACTCCTTTTACAATGACTTCCATAATTGTGAAGCATGTTGGTGAGGTCTTGGAGCCAGGTAGTCATCAGTGCAAATTTCTGTTGTTCCACCACTTAGCAGCTTGCTGAGCCTTAATTGGGATGATGATATAATCTTTACAGTCATGAGGATAGATAGGAACCTGTGTAAAGCATCTACTAGCATATCCTAGGAAACTTTCCCCTTGTGCTCAGTTACCTTACGTTTTCAATCTCTGTACTGTGTTCTATCCTATCGGTATTGACCTTAATAAACTCTTCATTTTTTCCCCATAAAATGTGCATCCTATTTGGAGACCCTTTCCCTTTCAACTTCATAGAGCAATTCTTTGTTGTTACATAACATTTTTGGTTGTTGATCATTATGCCATTGGAACTTAAACCTAATTATTTCTTTGAAAATAATTGCATATATGATTTTATTGTCTCTTCTCCAAAGTTAAAGGATAATCAAATAGGATTCGAGCCATTATAAGTCAGAATTAACAGATATCCTTTAAGTTTTGGAGTAAGTAGGAATTTGAACAACATCTCTGTACAGAAGTTTTCCTTAAGGAAAAATGTTTTAAACACTTACAAGATCATAATTCTGACCATTACTTTGTTTTATGTTACAGTGAAAATGCCTCGTGTAAAAGCAGCTCAAGCTGGAAGACAGGGCCCTGCAAAGAGACATCTTGCAGAACAATTTGCAGTTGGGGAGATAATAACTGACATGGCAAAAAAGGAATGGAAAGTAGGATTACCCATTGGCCAAGGAGGCTTTGGCTGTATATATCTTGGTAAGTGACTGCTTCTAATGATCAATCCAAAGATTTATATGGCTTTCTTATCAAAATGGTTTCTCAATTATGAACTATTATAGGATGCTCCTAATAATCTGCAGTCAACTTAATACTGTCTGATAAACAAAAATGCGTCTCTGACATAGGAGTGGAAATTGTTAATGTAATCGCAACAGAAAAAGAGGATAAAATATCTGTAAAATTGTCATTAGTGAGGACTAAGGCTTTAGATTTTTAAGATACTCTATATAATCATAATCTTTTTTGAGACCCAAAGAAAACTATGTACATATCTTTCCCCTCCCTCCTCCACCTAAGTGGGATTTATTTCCTCTGTGTTTGTCTAATTTGGAAGTTTGCAGATCTTTTGCAGGTGTGGGCTTCTTTTTTCTCTCTGTACAACCAGCAGAGCCCTCATACTGGAACTAAGAGAATTACGTAGACACTGCATATTAGGCCCGATTAAATGTGCAGATAACTCGCATACTTATTCTGAAATTTTGGGGACCCACTGTGGAGTCCTGAAATTCTGTTAACTAAATTATTGACTTAAAAAATATTTTAACTGATTGCTTCTAAAGCTGTCTGCTTCACCAGTACATACTAGTAGTGATATGATGCAATTCATATTTGCTTCTGATTTTTCTAACTTTTCCATTCTATGTTCTCACTCTACTTCTAATCTCAGATTAATAATTATTTAATTTCTGCCATGGAGGTTTATACAATTTTATTTTTAGCAACATCTTACTCAGAATACTGATAATATGATGTAGATTAGTGTCATTTGGGAACTTGTTAGACCTACAGTTTTTTGAGCCTTACCTCAGATTACGAATCAGAAACTGTAGGGAGAGGGGCCAGCAGTGTTTGATCAAGTCCTCTAGGTGATTCTGATGCATGCTAAAGTTTGAGAACCACTGACATAGGTAAAGAGCACTGCTCTTACTCAAGAGGAGTCCCACTTAACCTGTTCCAGGACCAATGGGCTGTCCTTGATCAGTTGCAGTTTCTGGAGCTATCTTTATGAAACATAGCTTGAAATCTAGTGTTTTATCATATGTTATACATATGATTCCTGTCGGTCAGTGGCACCCTTCTTTGTCAAATATGTGTTGATTCTCTGGTTTTGTTTAGAGCCAAACCCATTCCAGTGAACTAGGCTATATCACTGATTTATGGCAAAAATCCTTGGAAGCCATGAAAGATTAGTGGCTATATTAGTCAGTATATATTTTTGATCTTGTTATTTAGGGGAGATGGTAGATTATGTAAGCTGTCTTTATTACAGGATATGTGGACTTAATGCCATCTCATATTAATAGGAACTTGGCTCTAAAAAAGCAAGTTCTTCATCTTACATTAGTTAATTTACTGTTGGAACCTTTTGCAAATTTAGAACTTGCTTTGTCTCATCTTTTATTTGTATTTATCATCAAAAGATGCCGTCTAATAGTATTTTTAATAGGCCATGGTTTGACAGATCTCTGTAATAAAACTTTACTTTTATAAGGCTGGGATGACTAATTTGTAAAAGGAGGGACTTGCTTGAACATTGTTGCCTCCAGTCTCTCGCTTCTGTGATACACTGAAACAGCCAGATTCAAGATCACCAGCAGTTTCTGTAAATGAATTAAAAAGATTGATTTTGAATTTTCTTTGGATTTTTTTTTTTCTGTAGCATTTGATACTTTTTATCTTTGTTTCTCCTAACAGTTGCTTCCATTGTCTTTTATGATAACATAACTTTCTTCTAGTTTTCTTTCTGCTTTTCTGGCTGTAATTGGTCATCTCTGTAGGCACTTCTTTGTGCTCCAGCTTGTCTTCTTAGGTTCACATTTTGTTCTGTATATTCTGTCTGAGTGAAATCAGGCTTCTCTCACTGTCTCTTTACTGTTGATTTCTCTCTCTTTTATCTGTAGCCCAGGACTTGATTTCCTGAGCCCAGGCCCATAGCCACTGCCCTCTGCTATAAGGGATCTCTACTTAGATGTTCTACAGGCATTTCTAAAATGTATATCATCATCTTTTATCTCCTGATCCTGTCATGAGGATTGTCTCAGTGAATGACAGCCTTGAAGCCAGAAACTGGGAAGGCGTTCTTGAGCATTCCTTCACTAATAGCCTAGTTCCTTTTCTAGTCCTGCTGCTTTACCTGAGTGACTTCTCAGATCCGTTTATTTCTCTCCATCTTTGCAGCCACTGTCCTAGGTCAGGTCATGATCATCATGTCTTGTCTGGACACTCACTGTAGCACCGACTCTTCCCTGTCCCAGCCTTGCTGCCTTGCACACCATTGTTTTCAGTATGGCTTGTATGACCAAGTCTACTGATAAGATAATATGATCATCCTGTTTAAATCTCTCTGATAGCTCCACAGTCCCCTTCGAATAAGATGCCAAACTTTTGAAAATGGCATACAAGACCCTTCACATACAACATTGGTCTTTATCCCTTTTATCTCCTGAAAGTCTGTGCTTCAGCCATCTTGCTGCCCTTTGGCTGTTGATCTTTGTATATGATGCTTTAGAAATTTTAAAATATATTTTATTTTACATTGTTTTGTACCAAGCCTATGAAAAATTTATGTTAGCTTTACTGAGGTATAATCCATATACTTAGACTGTTGGTTTAGCCTCTTAACTGATCTACCTGCTTTTGCCCTTGGCCCCTGTACTCCATTCTCCACAAAGCAGTCCAACGAAGTCTTTATTACCACAGTCTGATTTTGCTAATCTTCTTTTCAGAACCTTCCAGTGGCTCCTGTCTCATTCATAGTGACAGTCAAAACCTTTATGTCACCTGTTAAGCCTATTGTGTTTGTTCCCTGCTGCTTTCTGATCTGTCTTCTCTTCCACCTCACTTAGTTTCCCCCAGTTACTTTTGCCTTCTTGTTTTCCAAACACTTCAAGCATACTTGCACATCAGGGTCTTTTTTTTTTTTTTTTTTTTTTTTTTTTTTTTTTTTTTTTTTGAGATAGAGTCTCGCTCTGTTGCCCAGACTGGAGTGCAGTGGCATGATCTTGGCTCACTGCAGCCTCTGCCTTTTGGGTTCAAGTGATTCTCTCACCGTCAGCCTCCCGAGTAGCTGGGATTACAGGTGCATGCCACCACCATGCCTGGCTAATTTTTCTGTTTTTAGTAGAGACAGGGTTTTGCCATGTTGACCAGCCTGATCTTGAACTTCTGACCCCAAGTAATCCATTCACGTAAGCGTCCCATAGTGCTGAGATTACAGGTGTGAGCCACTGAGCCAGGCCCACATCAGGATCTTGGTGCTGTTCTGCCTGGGATACGTACATGGCTTATTCCCTTCCTGTTCTCAGACTACTGCTCAAGTAACACCTTGTCAGTGAGGTTTAGATCTTTCTTACTGTGTGGCCACACTGCCTACCTTTCTTTCCTGATTACTTTGTCCTCTATAGCACTTCACACTGTCAAATGTATTTCATATTTTATTTGTGCTCTGCATCCTACCACTGAAATGGTGGCTTTGTAAGATTAAGGATTTTTTTCTTGTTCATTGCTAAATCTCTATTTCCTAGAAAGTGACATTTAGTATGTACTTGGTAAATATTCGTTTAGTGAATATGGGCAACCTTTTACTTCTAACTCAGTATTCTGGGGCAACTGTGCTTTTTATTTGCATGAAATAAAATGACAGCCCCATTAAAATTATTCTGATGACAGTTGAAAATTCTAGTGCCAACATCCTGAACTATTGGTCCAGATGAGCTTTTCCCAAACTAGTGCATTTTAGAACTTTAGCTCCCTCATTTCTTACTCCCTTACATTTCTCAACTCTTCAGATGCTCCTCTTAAAAGAATTTCATAGTTTATTAAATTTAAGAACATGTATCACTTATCCTCTGGGGAATTTACAATATACATTAGCATATCAAAGGCCATTAGTACTTTTGAATTAAATAAATCTTTAACTTATTTAACTGAGAGTTTCCCACGTGTAATTGATAATCATATGGAAGAAATTGTAAGATGCATTCTAAATTCAGATATGTTAAAACGTGAATGAAAATCTTAAAAATTATAAAATGTAATGATACCCTGAAACACATATTTGGGAACTGAAGTGTATTGTATCAAGGGGATACAGATATACAAAACTAAATATTAATATTTTTATAATATTACTGGTTCTGATATTAAATATTTTACTTTTTTAAACAGCTGATATGAATTCTTCAGGGTCAGTTGGAAGTGATGCACCTTGTGTTGTAAAAGTGGTAAGATATATTTTAGCTAATTTGTTTCTTTTCTGTTGATTTGGTGTAGTCATTTTGTAAAATGCCTTTTGATTATCTAGAATTAGTTAAACCATAAGATATTACATTTTTAATAAAAAATATTTAATAAGACACAAAAGTAGCTTTATAGTTTTAAATCACTTGAGTGTGAAAAGTTCCTTTCGAAATAAAGTGGTGCTGGTATTTGGGGATAAATGAATGAAAGCATAGAGGCATGCATATATGGAATAAAAATATTCAGCTCACTTAAGAAATTTCAGCTACTTTTACAGATACTATTTATATCTTGTAAGACTCTACTAATTTCATGTAATTTTATTGTATTTTATTTTGTATTTGCTCTGGACTTCTACTTGGTCATTTTTTTTCTGTTTATTCCCAATTTTCTTTTCTTCCCCTTCCATTTTAGTAAGTTAAATTATTTATTTGTGATTGGTGGGCCTGTTTTGCTATAATAATGTTGAAATTAGTTTGTAATGAGTAAAGATTGGCAACATCCTATCTGACGTAAGCATACTTCTAACAGCCAGATCAATTTATATGTTGACGAACTATAAGACATTTTAACTATTATTTTTTAAATCAATTATGTACCTTTTTGCTTACCAACATTTGTTACTCTCCTTCTTCAAAGTTCTTGATATATGTGAAGAATATGTTTTGGTTAAATAGAAGAACCAACAGGCTGTATTATCTGGGCAAATTAACATATAACTCTTCCCCTACTTTTTTTCCTGAAGGTTACATGTATTAGGGTTCTCCAGAGGGACAGAACTAATGGGATAGATGTATATATGGAGGGGATGCCCCCATGATTCATTACCTCCCATCAGGTCCCTCCCAGGACACATGGGGATTATGGAGATACAATTCAAGATGAGATTTGGATGGGGACACGGCCAAACCATATCAACCAGAACTCAGGAATTTACCCTGAAGGTTTTCATTTTGTTTCGTTTTACTCTGTTATATTTTATCTCTTAGGAGTCAGCTTTTTTGGACCTTTTTAGTGACTTTTAAACTTTTTTTAAAAAAATTGAGGCATAATTTTTACAGGGAAATACATAGATACCAAATGAATACTTTGAAGACTTTTGACAAGCAAATATACCTGTGTAACCCTCACCTCTTAAAATGTAGAACATTTCCATCACCTCAAAAAGATTCCTTATGTTCTTTTTCCTTCAAAACCCTACTTCCTTGCACCCTTGGAGGCAACCACTTGTCTTGAGGTTTTTTTTTTTTTTTTTTTCTGTGAATGAGTTATTCCTGTTTCAGAAGGTTATGTAAATTATATTAAACAGTGCATATTGTTTGGTAACTTGTTATGCGCAGCATAATATTTTAATGGATCATCCATATTGTTGGTGTGTCAGTCATTTGTTTTCATTTTATTGCTCTCTTGATAGACATTGGTTTTGTTTCCAGTTTTTGTAATTATGAATAAAGCTTCTCTAAACATTCTTGTACAAGTGTTTTTTATGGACACAGGTTTTTATTTTTCTTGGATACTTAGAAGTAGAGTTGCTGATTTATAGGGAAGATTGTCTGTTTAAACTTATAAGAAAGTACCAGGCAGACTTCCAAAATGGTTGTACCCTTTTACACATAGACCAATAACATATGACAGTTTTGTTTGCGTCCTCTTCAACATTTGGCAATGTCAGGTGTATGTATTTGTTTTTTAGCCATTACAGTTAGTGTGTAGATGTGACCTTTAGTTTCAGTTTGTATTTACTTGATGCCTAATGATTTGGGGCAGTTTTTTGTTGTGCTTGTTGGCCATTCGTGTGTTTTCCTTTGTGGAATGCCTCTTCAGTCCTTTTTGCTCCTTTCTTCTTACTTTTATCTTTTAAAAATAACTGGGTCATTTTGTTTTTTATAATTGAGTAGTAAGAGTGTTTTTTTCTGGATGCAAATCCTTTTTCAGATATGTGTTTTCAACATTTTCTACTAGTTTATAGTTTGCCTATTTATTTTTTGAACGCTTTTTTGCATCTGAGATGAATCACAGGATTTTTCTCCTTTATTCTGTTAATGTGGCACTTACATTGATTGATATTTGAATATTGACCGAACTTTGTATTTTTAACATACATCCCACTTAGTCATGGTATATTTTACTTTTTACATAATGCTGGAATTCGTTTGTGAATACCTTGTTAAGGATTTTTGTGTCTTTGTTCATGAAGGATATTGGTCTTTTGTTTTTTTCCTCACTATTTCTCAATTCAAAACTTCCAGTCTCCTTGTTGATTTTGGTAGCAGAGTTCTGTACCCGGCACTCTGTTTGGTCTTCCCCTTTTTGCCCTGTAGGTCTCTTAAGTCTCCTGCTTTTTAAAACTCCTAGGGCCTCTAGGGGAAAAAAGCCAGGGCTGCCATGGACTCACTTTGTTTTCTGTCTTTTAGTGGTCACAGTTCTTCTGTCCTGCCCATTGTCTAATTCTGAAAATAGTAATTTTCTCTCTTAAGTACATTTTTATCTTTGTTTGCAGTGGGAGGGCTAACAGCGTCCCGGTTATTGCCTCGTGCAGGGAAGTGGAAGCAAAGCGATGCCTTTAAAGTTGTGTCAGTGCTTTATTGCTCCTGCCCCTTTTCATCATGGCCTGTCATTGTGGATTTTTCTTCTTTCTCATTTGTGTAATAACATTCTTTTTGGATAGTCAGCCTACTGCTGAATCAGAGGAACTGAGGTTCTTACTGTTAAATTGGGTCATTTATATTTAATTGCAGAATATTATGTGCATTTGTTTTTGATAATACAAATTAAAATATTAAAATCTATGGGTAAGACGAATTTCTTGTTAGGATCGTTAAGAGTACTGTTGTGAGAAGAAAGCAAGTCTTATGACGTCTCATAATGTTGAGGTTCAAATGATGTGATTACTTCTGACCTCTTGCAGTTGGTTGGCATAGTCTGTGTCTTGGAAGGAAAGTGTGGCAGCATTATATCTTATAGGTGGAACGGTACATAATCATACCTTTTTTTTTCTGTATAACCTGAACTTTTTTTTTTTAAAGACAGGGTCACTCTGTTGCTGGGGCTGGAGTGCACTGGTACAGTTATAGCTCATTTTAGCCTTGATCTCCTGTGTTCAAGCAATCCTGTCACCTCAGCCTTTCTAGTGGCTGGGGCTACAGCTACACACCACCATGCCCGGCTATTTTTTTTTTTAATTTTTAGCAGACAGGAGGTCTTGCTTTATTGCTTAGGCTGGCCTCAAACCCTTAAGCTCAAGTGATCCTTTCCTCTCAGCCTCCCAAAGTGCTGGGATTATAGGCATGAGCCGTGGCACACAGCTTCTGAACTTCTTTAAGTTGTGTTTTATCTTAGAATGATGTGCTTGCTTACTGTAATTAGAAATATTTATGTTGTTGTTCTTTATTGAGAGTAATTATTTCTGTTGTTAGTCAATGTAACTTCACTTTTACTACCTTTTAAACTTAGACGGTTAAGAAAAAACATGGCCAGGAACAGGCATTTTCTATATGCTTAAGGTAACAAATTATATTTTTAAATATAAGGCCAAGTACCTAGTTCAGGACTGTATATCTCCTGTCTCTTAATTTAGTTCTGTTTCCATTATCCTTTATTGTTTCTCCTCTTTGCAATTAAGACAGTAATAAATACTTGATTTCTCTTTAGCATTTAATATTTTAGTAACTTTTTCGATGTTGCAGTTATCCTAGAAGAGTGTCATAAACAAAACAATATTACTGGCCAGGGACAGTTGCTCATATCTGCAATCCCAATGCTTTGAGAAGCTGAGGCGAGTGGAAAACTTGAGGTCAGGAGTTCAAGACCAGCCTGGCCAGCATGGTGAAACCTTGTCTCTACTAAAAATACAAAAATTAGCTGGGTGTCGTGGTGCATTCCTGTAGTCCCAGCTACTCCCGAGGCTAAGGCAGGAGAATCACTTGAACCTGGGAGGAGAAGGTTGCAGTGAGCTGAGATGGTGCCACTGCACTCCAGCCTCAGCTATAGAGTGAGGCGGTCTCAAAAAGAAAAAAAACAGTATTACTGACTTTCTCTTTCCCTTTGAAGGGGAAATTTGTAACTTCTATTTGCTTCTTTTCCCCTTGATAGCACTCTCCTGAATGCCTTTAAACCTCTACGGCACTCATTGTATTAACGTTTATTTTACAATTTCACATGCTAATATTCTTATGCCATTAGTTTTTAGTTTTTTTTTAAATGTGTTTATTCTGTTTCTCTAACTAGATTTTAAGTTACCTGTTAAGGATCTTGTCAACAAAGTTTGTTTTCCCTATGCAGTCTTTAGATGCTTACTTTATTTATCCTTTTGAATACTTTTTAGCCATTAATTGTCCATTATCTTTTTACTACTCTCTTCATTTACTCTCAACTTCCTGTTGTCATTCACTTTCCTGTCTGTACCGTAGAGAGTAGGCCCATTCATAATTTGCCTTCTCACAGCTTTATAATATTGTGGTTGAAATGTTTCACCAAATACAAACATGTAAAATGAGTTATCAGTTCTTTCTGATATTGAAATCAGAACGGTTGATGAACATTTGTCATTTATAACATTATAGGCTATTAAAGATCATATTTTCAAAGAATGTGTACTACTCTGGGGAAATTTTATAATTATTTCTGAAACAGCAGGGTACAAAATTCTATAGGTGGTATGAAGATTGTTTTATAAAATGACTATATATGAAGAAAATACATGAAAGTGTTTCCATATTTTCTAAAATGAGCGTGTGTTTTGTCATCAGAGAAGAAACTTGCAAATCTTAAGAAATAAAGGCAGATTGACTTTTAATGTGAAATTATACTTAATAATGTAATAGCATATCAAACAGTGGTTCTCAATCCTGGTTGTAGAGTATAATCAGAATCTCCGGGTGTAGGGCCGGGTTATTGGTATTTTTAGTAAAGCTTCCCAGGTGATTCTTTTGTGCATCAAGACTGAGAACGCTGGTAGAATCTGGCACACAGAGCACCTTAATTATTTTAAATGGAATCATGTGTGCGTGCACATTTTTATGTTTGTTTTCAGTAGGGGCTTGCAGGTACTGTGTGCTGCTGGTATGGGTTTCTAACTTAATGTGGATGTCTTGTCAAGGAATTGGTTATTGCTAATAATACATGTGTCTTTATGAAACAGCTCCAAATAGTTAACCCACAAATTTCTTATTTGGCATTGGGGTGAAGTTAAAACATACACATTCAAGGTAGATGTCAGGTACATACTAAAAACCTTCTCCTATATACCAATTGATGGTCTCTGGTTTTGTTTGGGGCCTTAATCCTTGACCTCCAGGAGAGACACTGTATTTTATTTCTGAAAGTAACTGTGCAGAGAGAAATTTCAATTCTACCAGTGTTCTTAGTCTTGATGCACAAAAGAATCACCTGGGAAGCTTTCCTAAAAATACCAATAACGAGGCCCTACACCCGGAGATTCTGATTATACTCTGCAACCAGGATTGAGATCCACTGTTTGATATGCTATTATATTGTTAAGTATAATTTCACATTAAATTTAAATTTAAATGGATAATAAGTTGGATAATGCAAGGAGAAAGAAATTCTCTTTTGTGTTTTCTTGATGACAGGCTTAATAAGAAATTAGTAGTTCTTTACCCTTTACAGCCATGTCAGTAGCAGCACTAGAGGCAGAGGTCAGCCTTTTGGATGGTATCCTAACAGGTCATTGTATCATGGTCCTTTTCTGGTGTGAACTGATATGAATCTGTATTTCACAGTTCCTTGGAAAGAAGTTTGCAGACTGATGTTTGATTTTCCTCACTGATGTTATGAGAAGTGACCTGAATTTTTAATTCATATATCATAATTTTTTGGTAGGAAGGAGAAATTTTGTACGGCTTCATTTTTAAATGGCAGCCAGTTGCTTTTAGCTGGTGCCATTGAAATATATCACATTTTAATTTTTTTTCTGTTGTCATCTTCATTTTGACACTTAGAAGTCTTAAAGAAACGTTTAGTGATATTCTAGTTAAAATGTCAGTCCCAATTTCTTTTCTAAATCTTGGCTATTATAGAGTTGGCAAAGTATTTCAGATTTGAAATATGTTAATAAAATTTTAGTTATGAGTTAAGGTATTTTCTTCAACAGGAATAGCTAGCTTTGGCTAGAGTGCAATGCCAAGGAAGTAGCTCCTTTATTTTGTGATAATGGAAGTTTATTGGATTAGAAGAAGTATGAAATGAGCTCAGAGAGCCTTTATTGTAGTGGGCTTTCATTATAATAGCCTGATTTATATGGTTGATTCTCATTATTGTAAGTTTAATAAATTATTGCCTGAAGGAAAACTTGAAAGTTAAAGTTGATATGACATAGGTTGAAATGGAATAAATCAGAATTTTATACTGATTTGTCTTAGGAAAACCTCTTTCAAACCTGAATTATATAAATCAGCTATTCTAAAGGTAGCCTTTGGAGAGGAACTTTACCAGAATTCCTCCATTTGAATTTCTGTTTCTTACACTGATTCTGTGATTACTACTGAAGACCTATTCTTAGCCGTTGGCTGGAAACATTGCAAGTGTCTCTTGTAAATGCTTGCAAGTGTCATGCTATTACTGCTGCTAGGAAAGGAGCCACAGGTTACAGAGAAACTTGAGTGCTGACTTTATAAATTAAGAAATCAGCACTCATACTTTCAGTCTGTTGGTTAGCTCCTACTTCTTAAGGAGTTGTTGCATGCCAAGTCAGGATACTACTTTCTTCCAGGGTTAAGATGAAAAGTATACTTACTTGTAACAAATAAGGCAAGCTTATTTTCAGGTTGTGATCCAAGTGTTAACATGTGTTGTCTATTTGCTGTTAAATGCTCATTCATAACTGCTTGACTCTGCGGATTGACTGATCAGTTTTTCTCTAAGTATTTTTATTTATCTATATCTATTTATCTATTTATTTATGAGAGAGAGAGAGTCTCACTTTGTCGCCCAGGGTGGAGTGCAGTGGCATGTTCTCGGCTCACTGCAGTCTTTGCCTCCTAGGTTCAAGTGATTCTCCTGCCTCTGCATTCTAAGTAGCTGGAATTAAGGTGCCTGCCACCACACCCAGCTAATTTTCCTATTTTTAGTAGAGATGGGGTTTTACCATGTTGGCCAGGCTGGTCTTGAACTCCTGACCTCAGGTGATCTGGCCGCCTTGGTCTCCCAAAGTGCTGGGATTACAGGCATGAGCCACTGCACCCAGTGGTAGAAAACAATTGTTAACGAGCACCATATTTTTATTGACTTTAAATCATGTGGGAAATAAGTTGAATGGCTCTTTGGTTTGACAAAAGCAGGAATCCGTGTCTGTAAATCTGCATCTAGAAAGGAAAGGATGCAGATCAGTGGACAGTGCATGATTGTTCAGGAGATGCAGAATATGTACTCTTCTTTGTGGTAAGGTCTATTTTTGCCAATCCTGATAAAGTACATGTAACTTTAATGAAAACAGGAAAGGAATGGGATTTTGCCATTAATTGGTTAAATCAGGTATTGAAATTTTATTAAATCTCAGAAATATTTTGTAGCCCCTTGGTGATAACAGTTAAGATGGTTGCTCAGCTTTGCTTAATAAAGATGAAAATTACTTTAAACCTTTTTCTTAAACTTCTGCAGACTGAGCTGTATATCTGATTTTGTATAATTTATCACTTATAGAAATGGAGCTTGAGAGCAATAGCAGACTAATATTTCTCTCAATGTTTCTACGGAGTTTGTCTTAATCTTAATACATTTATAAACTTAAGTATCAAAATTACATTGTTTGGACCGAAAAATAGATTTGTTGGTCTTTCTTGAAGGTTCATTGAAAATAACTCAGTAATTTTAACTACTGCTAGTACTAATTAACTCTTATATTTTAAGGAACCCAGTGACAATGGACCTCTTTTTACTGAATTAAAGTTCTACCAACGAGCTGCAAAACCAGAGCAAAGTAAGAAATGCAGTACACTGTTTACACTTTAAAAATGACCAGTTTTTTGTTTTGTTTTAAGCCAAGACCTAGAGCATTATGTCTTATGTTATGACTCTGTTATTTTTTTGCCTTATAAATTCCATTATGTGAGATTTGTCTGAAATAATTCTGGTCTTTTAATGGGTTTGTTGCATCAATATTTTCCCTATATTGATATAGAATAAAGTTAATAATAATGACATGCTTTACAAAATATTGTTAAACATTGAGAATTATTGATGAACTGGAACAGGATATCAAGGTAGTAAACCAGAACCTCTCCTAGTTACTTTGGTCCCTTCTGTCCATTTCTCCTAGACCTTTATTTCCTGGTTGAGGACTTTTAGATTGAGGAAGAAACACCTTTTAGATTGGTATGAAAAACAGGTCTTCCTATCGAATCAAGTAAATGTTACGTAATTAGAGATATAAACGGCAACTTCAGGATAGTCCACCCTCCGTATTCTCAGATTCCACATCCTTAGACTCAACCGACTGGGGATCAAAAATATTCCAGGAAAAAAAAAAACAATAAAAAATAACAATTCAGTAATAAAAAACAGTACAAATAAAAAGCTAGTACAGTATAACTACTGACACAACATTTACATTGTATTGTGTATTATAAGTAATCTAGAGATGAGATAAAAGTATATAGGAAGGTGTATGGAGGCTGTATGCAGATAATACACCATTTTATATGGGGGACTTGAGCATCTGGATTTTGGTATCTTGAGGTGTGGGGGTTCCTGGAAACATGCCCGTAGAACGAAGGAATGACTGTACTGTAGTTTTGATTTAAAAAAAAAAAATGCTTTTCATAGATTTTTCATTTTAAAGAAAAATAGGAGTTTTGTAGGTTAATAAAAATGTTTTCATCGTAAAATGCTTTTCATTATTGGTTATACTGTATTCTTTTTTTATGATTAAAGATGAATTCACATGTATAAATACATTTTGCTCTTAATGATTTTTTAAAAATTATCATTTATGTATAACAATTTAAATCATGGGGATCTGTTTTAATTTGTAGTTCAGAAATGGATTCGTACCCATAAGCTGAAGTACCTGGGTGTTCCTAAGTATTGGGGGTCTGGTCTACATGACAAAAATGGAAAAAGGTAAAAATATGTGTGATTTGTCTTTCTCCTTCCCTTTGCAACATTCACTGGTTGGTTTAGTCAGTAATTATTTACTGATCACTTACAGTATTACTAGGCCTCCATCTGGACTATATGGAATGTATGTGACATAGATGAATAACATGTTATCTCTATCTTCTGCTTTCCATAACAGCAGGCTGTGATGCCCTATTAGAGTAGGGGTGCCTCTCTAATCAGGGGACTTCTAGAGAGCAGTATCAACTGACTGTAACCCAACTGTCAAGGAGGAATAAAGCCAAACAGGCCCTGGATTTTTTTTTTTTTTTATTTGTCCTTAAAAATAAACAAACACAACTCCTCTGTTCTTTATGCAAAAGGGAGCCACTTCAGGATTGCATTTGGTATTTCATGTTGGATACGTATTCTGCCCACATGAGATTACACTCACCCTTTATGAGGGGTTCAGTCTAGCTGGTGAGTGAAAACAAACATATATCAAACAATTAGAGAACAATTTAGTGCTCAATTGTGTAATACTGACTTACATGTCTTAGGAGTTCAGAGAATGGAGATAATTCCTTGGCAAAGTTTATTTGGAGAAAACCTCTAATACTTTGGTGCATAAGCAGCACTTGATACATATTTGAATGAATGAATGGGACTTGATGGAGTAAGGCTTTGGTAGCTGAGACTCTAAGGGTAGATTTACTTTGGAACTGGGGATATATTGCTTCGGATGATTTGAACTGCAAGTAAAGGAAAACTTTGACTCAGGCATCATCAAGGGCCCAAGTTCCTTATCTTTGCCCTCCTCATCTTGGTTTTGTTCTCTGTTAGTTCTCTATTGTGTGGTCTCTGGGTGGCTGCTCCATTTCTAGGCTTCACAGGCAGGCACAGTACCCAAGGGCAGAAAATGATATCTATTATGTGTTGCGACTTTCACTTTCCTGGCAAAGAAAGCTTTCCCAGGAGCCCTGTGGCAGACTTCCTCTCAGTTTTCTTGGTCAGAATTTTATCAGTACTTAAACCATTCGTTGGCAAGGACAAAGTGGTCACGATGATCCACGTGGAAAAGGATGGAATACCAGAACCAAATTGGTGCTCCGTTAGAAAAGATTGAGAGGAGGGGTAATAGTTGGTTAGGCAGCCAGTGTTGTGGGGAGCCCTGAAGTCATTTTTAACATTTCCTTTTATCTGGTTTTGCTAGGATAGCAAAATATATTATAGTTTTTATAATACTATAGAGCAAGGATTAGTTAAGTTAGTTAAGAGCAAGGATTCTAGACTGCCTAGTTTTAAAACCTTGTTTTGCCCTTTAAAATGTGTGTGACTTCGGGCAATGTTTTGCTTTAATTTCCTCATCTGTGAAATAGAATAACAGCTACCTACTTAATCATGATTAAGTATAAAGCTACAAGAGTATGTGTAAAACATAGATGTTAGCTTTTGCTCTCAAAGGGGTCTTTAATCGCTTAAATGTTAAAACCTATTGGTTTAGAAAATCATTGAGGAGGCAGAATAGCATCTTAAATGGGAGATTAACGTGAGCCACAGGCAGGATAGGCTTCTATTCTACTGTATGACCTAATGACCGTCTTCCTCTAACAGAGGAGGAGGGCCTGTGTGTAAGAGAGAAGGAAACAAACTTGGAGAGTTGGTGGCAGATAATGAAGACCCACAGAGGAAAGAACAGTTTGTAACCAATGTATAGTAGGTAGTCAGAAGCTGTTGCTTGCACTTCAGCAAGGGATGAGGTGACACAGTGGTGAAAGTGCCATTTGGAAAATGGTTTACATGGTGAATTAAAGACTGTCTAAAGGGGAATAAGACAAGCAAAACCCTTATAAATGACTTGCTGGGAAAAAAATCTGTTTGACTTTGTGCTCCAGTATATAATAGTTAGATTCCTAAAAAACAGTACATTATGAAAACCACATTTTATAGAGATGATTGGAAGAAAAGTGTGCCTGGGGCTAGAGCATTTTTAGACTTGGAATAACAGCCTTTTCCTCTTTCCATAATTTCAGTATAAATATCTTAAAAAAGCAAGTACAGTATATTGCAGCAAAACCTAAACACCAAACAAATGTGGTCATGGGCTAGTTACTTTCTGTCTCTCTTGTTTCCCTATCTGTGAGATGAAGATAATAGTACTTTATGAATTACTGTGAAGATGAAATGAAAACATGTAAATTGTAAGGGGTACACAGTAAGTGCCAGGAAATGTTGCAGTGATCATCACTGTGATTATTATGATTGGTTTCATTTGTTGGTCTGTTACTTTTGTCAGTGGTGGTATTTTGCTTGGTGATGATGGTCTTTCTTAAAGTTGTCCACACTGTCATATCACATTTTACCATATCCATTCTTAACACCTGTTTTATGATGAAGTTTGGAACCAGTTAAACAGGTCTTTTGTTTGTGTGACTCCCGTGAGGTGACCAGGGACTAAGTGGGTCGAAGACTGAGTCTGTAAGCTGACTGACGAGGGCACTGCTGGAAAGAACTTCCCTGTGTGGATCAGAAGTGCCTTAGAGTGTGGTGACCAACCAGAACACAGTTTGAGTCTTAACTCACCGTTTACTAGTGATGACTTCACCTCCCACTCCATTTCTTCTATAAAATGAAGTTGCTAGAAATGTCTCCTTTAAAAAGATAATATTAATCATATATTAGGCATTGATTTACTCTTTAGGTTGAAGCTCTTAAAAAGAATCATTATAGGTCTTACAGAAGTAAATAAATAGAAAGTAGATTATTCTTCCAGTCCCCTCCCCTGCCAGACATCCTTAGTTTTTCTTGTAACTCACTGGAATTAATATGTATGTAGGGCTTGGAACAATGTTAGCTGCTATCATTATTAAATTATACTGATGTATATATATATTTTTTACTTGGGCGTTTATCCTAGTCTCCAGAAAAGTATACATCAAAGGTTTTACTTTAAAGGAGTTACTTAGAAATAACTTTCATTTTATTACTCAACGGCAAGAGGTGTCTTTCCAGAAGAATGTGGTACTGGTTTTATGAAATTTGTGGAATCGTGTTTTTCAGTTGATGTTTATGATTTAGTTATGGTGAAGAGATTAAGGGCTTAATAAGAATGGTGGTGGGATGATTTGTGAATAAAAACAAAGACCTACATAGTAGAATTTATTAATAAACCCATGTTGAATTAAGCAATTGTGTTTTAGCCCTCTTTCTGACTGTTACAGAGGTTGTGCCTTTGTTACCTGTGTATTACAATTTAAGTATCTCTTATCTGAAATGTTGGCACCAGAAGTATATTAGATTTGGGATTTCTTGAGGATTTTGTAATATTTGCATTAATACCTACTGGTTGAGTATCCCAAATCTGAAAATGGGAAATCCAAAATGCTCCAGTGAACATTTCCTTTGAGCATCATGTTGGCACTAAAAAACTTTCTAATTTTAGAGCATTTCTGATTTCAGATTTTCAGATTTGTGATGCTCAACCTATATTGTAATTATTATACACATCACCTATTTAGTAAAAGCCGACATGTATATGTGCCCTGGTCTCATCTCTCAGCCTTTCGAAATCTGTTATACAAAGGAAAATAGGAACTCAAAGTTACCATTTTCATCTTTATTATCTTACAAGCCAACGTACTAGAAAATCTTACATGAATGAATGTATTTTGCCACTGACTAACTTTATAACCTTGGACAAGTCACTTTACCTCCAAAGACCTCAGTTATTTTATTTATTAAAAGATGTTTAGATGAGATGATTTTCTAATTTCCTTCCAGTTCAAAAATGAACAGAGTTCTGAGTTTTTTTGTTCATAATCTTGTCTTTTAATGTTAGTTAACTCTTCCTTCCCTTTTGAACTTGTCATGTTGCTATCATAGAAGCCTACAACATATAAATGGGATTTTTGTATCCTCGTGACCTTTATTTAAGTATATGTAGTGCAGTGGTTACAAGCATGATTTTGTCACATACTAGAGGACAAATTACTTACAGTTTTCTTCTGCTGTAAAATGGGGATGATAGGAGTTATCTACCTTATAGTTGTGAGGTTTAAATGCCCTAACAGCATTTTAAGTACTTACAGTAGTGCTGTGCTCATACCAGGTGTTCAGTAAATGCCAGGCGTTATGGTGTTGATGATGCGTAGTCTGCCTTATTGGAAGATGTCTTGATACGTTCTGAGTGTGGTTTTGGTTTTTATTGATTTACTGAATGATTTAACCAGGCAAGTTAGAATCTGGAAAACTGTTGAAGATAAAAGTGATCTTCAGAGCAGAAGCTGAGCAGTGTTATTTCAAATAGGTGATGCTTTTCTGTACATACTAAAATACAACATATGATTATTGAATCTGAGTTTTGGGTGCTGGAAGTGACCTTAGAAAGGATGAGTCCCTGTTCTCTCATTTTACTTCTGTGGAAATTGAGGCCCAAGGAAGTAATGTGACCTTGGCCAATGTGACATAGCTGCTTCATGGAAAAACCAGTTATCTTCACATTTTCCCAGGATTTTTGTTTTTCCCCAAATCTTGGCCATTCAATGTTTAAGTGCAATCCTTTTATACCATTTAAACAATGTTACTGAATCTAGCTCTTGTTATAGCATCTCACAAGAATCTTGATTTTTAGCAGAATGTTGTTACCTTAAAAATAGAAACAGTCACAGGAAGGAAGCTGATATCCAGAAACATTAATTAATTTTAACTATGAGAAAAATAATTGCTGTCGTGTTTATTCAGCTTATTTTATTTTTACTGTGAATAAAACTTTTGGGTTCTCTGTGTGAACATTATCTTAAATTGAATAATAGTCTCCTGTAATTAGCTGAGACCAGGACGAGGCCCTCCAGGTAAAAAGCAGGACCTGAAAGCACTCTGAACTCTTGAGATTTCTGGTTGGGAGAAATTGTTGCAAATGTTTGTATTTCTTTTTTAAAAAACACTTCCTTACTAAACATTGTCTTGAAAAAATTACTTTGAGAGTACTCATTGCAAAGTTGGTTTTCTCGATTTGTATTTTGTTCATTGGCTTTTCATATTTGTTTGCAGTTACAGGTTTATGATAATGGATCGCTTTGGGAGTGACCTTCAGAAAATATATGAAGCGAATGCCAAAAAGTTTTCTCGGAAAACTGTCTTGCAGCTAAGCTTAAGAATTGTATGTGAGCTATGTTTTTCTTGTTTTTTAAAAAATTGTTTTTAATACAGTAAAGGCTAGTTTATGTTGAAGCTTGGTCCTCTGCTGGTTGGTGTTAGGTACTGCATTAACTTATTCTGTGTGATACTTTGTAGCTGGATATTCTGGAATATATTCATGAGCATGAGTATGTGCATGGAGATATCAAGGCCTCAAATCTTCTTCTGAGCTACAAGAATCCTGACCAGGTAGTTTTATAACTTTAATTTCTACTATTTAAAACATGTTGTTTGAAAATAAATATGGTTGCTTTGAACTTTTGAACCTATGTAGAAGTTTTACTTTTTGAAGTCGATGTGGTAATAATATTTCTTCTTGACACTTTGATCTAGTTAACATTCTACATTTTTGATGTGATTTGTTGGCACTTTATCAAGTTGGCTATTTTGCCCTAAATAATATTCAGAAGAAGTGCTTGTGGTACAAAATGAATTTCAAATAGCTATTTGGGGGTGGAAGCTTAAAATTATATAGTACACCAATGAATTATGTTTGCCTGTCTGCTTTGTCACTTTTTTTTATTCCTTTGTTCAAGAAATCCATCAAATGTAAGTGTTCTATTACTTGGAAAATTTGGTCTTTAACATGTTGATTATTCAAATCAATTGGTTTACAGAAATATCTTAGCTGTCTAAATTTGTATACCTTTAGTGTTTCGAATTCAAATGTGCTTTTTTTTTTTTTTTTTTTTTTTTTTTTATTACATTCCCTTTGTAATTTTTACTTTCTAAGGAAAGGAGAAAAGCTTATAATAATATACCTTGATTTAGGTCAGTTTAGTTGAAGTAGAGGGATCTATACAATTTTCCTGTATAGCTGTTTCTGTGATTTCAGTGAAAGTAAGGCTTAGTTGATGTTCATACTTAATGCATGTTCTCACTTCTTACTTGATCTTATATAAAAAGGAAGATTTCAACATTTTAAATGTGTTTGGGTGGAAATTGAGGCCCAAGGAAATAATGTGTTTGTATTGTAATTATTTGTTAGTACCTGTACTTCATTCTTTCTCTCAAATTTACCTTTAACTGCCTTTGCCTAGTTTTTCCTATTTCCTTTGGCTATCTTTTCTTTTTTTGTCATCTCATACTTGCTTCCCTTTCTCCAGTGTCAGTTATGATGGATATAAAGGAATCTAAGTACAAAAGAAGAATGTTACTATTCTATTAATATAGTGTGCTAGTGGAGAAATCTTAAAAAGTCAGTCATCAAATTCATCTCCTTTCTAGCCATTTCTTTTTGGATGTTTCTAGGCTAAGCACAAACAAAATGCAACTAAGAACCTGAACAATAAGGGTTCCATTAATTTAAATAGGCTGGACTTGTACAGTGTAATAAAATACAGCTTAAATCACTTTGCAGGTGACTAAAACATGCTGCCTTTGTTTATATGGAAATATTTTTGCAGCTCTGTTATCCTTCAGATATATACTTTAGATGGGATTGTTTTTCCAGTGTTAGATGCTACATCTAACCACGTATTTTTTGCTTCAGTTTCCTCTTGTGCCCAGATGCGTGCATTTATGACGTTAACTCAGAATTAGAGTTGTAATGTGTGGCTATGGAGTAGAAGAAAGCCAAGTTTATTAGCTTTGTATGCTAATCAGACCCACATGTATGTGCCCACGGAAAAGTGTGTATATAATATTAAAATTTAGTTTTAATCATGCAGTCTTGGCTTTAGAATATAGTATTTAAATATAGATAAGCGCCTGATCTAAAAGTTCTTTAGATCATTATTGTGATGTATGAAATATTTTTATAAAGTAAATTGAGATTTGATTATTTTACAAGTGAAGAAACAGGAGTAGAAGGTAACATATCATGTGTCCCCATCATTAGCAGTCTTCCATTGGTTGTGCTTTTCTGTGTGCAAGAAGTATTGACAGTTTACTCTGTGCTCAGTTTTCTTTAGAGTCTGTAAGAGAAAGTATAAAATGTATAATTTTTGTTCAAATTGAAGAGACAAGATTAATTACAAGTATAACACATACTTATCTAAAAAAATATATAATGTCAAGTGACTAGACTATAGTTATGTGGTCATTTAATGTTTTTATTTAAAAAGTCTTTCAGAATTAAATATTTGCTGTTGTGTGCATTTTAGATCTCAGTTGTTTGGAGTGTTACGGAATGACCTTGTAGGTGAATCCACCTTCAGATGACAGTATTTTGTTTCAATGCTTTAAAGGAGTGTATGTGCAGTGATTTTGACTTTAGTTTGTCTTGGTGCTTGAAAATTTATAGGTGTACTTGGTAGATTATGGCCTTGCTTATCGGTACTGCCCAGAAGGAGTTCATAAAGAATATAAAGAAGACCCCAAAAGATGTCATGATGGCACTATTGAATTCACGAGCATCGATGCACACAATGGCGTGGGTATGTCAGTAGTGCTTGAGTGAGAAATAAACTGCTAATATTTTCTCCCAGATTCCTATGTAGTTCTTAATTGTGCGTAAATAAATAAATCGATAGTCAAATAAGAATTGAAGAGACACAGTGGCATGAGGAAAGAAGGCAGAGGTGAGACTCCTACAAATGTTTTTTAGGGCCCTCTGTGTTTTTCTCTCCTGCCTTTTTCTCTCAGCCTTCAAAGATAACCAAGAAGGTGGTAGTGGTGAGGTGGTTCCTTCAACTGCAATGAGGATTTCTTTTGGTTTTATTTAGTTTAACTGGAATGTTAGTTTGTTTTTGTGTTTTTTCTCAAGTCTGTAAGTTTATTATGTATCTACCACTTTGTAATAGCTGACTTTTATTTGTTAGCTGTTAAGTTAGTTCTTCTGTGCTCAAAGCTGTGGAAAAACTCAAACACCCAGCTTTATTTAATAGCATATAAAAATTGTAAGAATATCTTCAAGTTTTCCAAAGGCAGTATTGAATATACCATTATTTTATTTCTAGACTGATAGTCTCCACCTGAAACCATAAAACTTACCAATTTGGGTTTTAAAGTAAATTGTTAGTTGGAAGTAAATTGGGAGGTAAGCTATTTTTACTATCCAATGTTCACTACTTAGTTAAATGCAGTCAAAATTTTATGATGAAAAACAGAACATGGAGTTGACTGTTTTACCTTAGTATTTTATATATACTTGAAATTATACATTAAAAATTATTTCAATCTACCTAATCATCTTCTTTTGCATTTTAGCCCCATCAAGACGTGGTGATTTGGAAATACTTGGTTATTGCATGATCCAGTGGCTTACTGGCCATCTTCCTTGGGAGGATAATTTGAAAGATCCTAGATATGTTAGAGATTCCAAAATTAGGTAAAGGAAAACTTACGTTATTTCGAGCAAAATTATGATAAGCCAAATGTTTTTAGCCACAGTTTCTTGACAGGAACTGTAGTTTCAACTGATACTGATACGGAAATAAGAAAGTACTTGTTAAACAGTGAGGTTTCACGGTCTTTTGTTTACTTTACTTTAGAAAAATGTCTGTAAGCATATTTAGGATGTAGCACACTATTGCTTAATATGCTATATATTTTCATTTAATATTAATAACATTCTGTGACATCAAGCTGCAAACAATGACTCATTCTTTAATTTTAAACAGATATAGAGAAAATATTGCAAGTTTGATGGACAAATGTTTTCCTGAGAAAAACAAACCAGGTAGGAAAAGTCTTCTTAAATGTTAATAAGGGTTTTGTTTTCTGCAGATAAAAAGTTATGATACCATGGAGTAGCCCTTAACGTAAGATGTTAGGTGGTTTGTTAAATGAATACTTGATCTTTATTTAATTATTATTCAGTGCTTTTAGCAAAGGAAGCAAATTTCATTCATCCACTAAGCTAGTATGTATTGAGGCTTTGTTGTGTGCCAGGGACTGGAATTACATCAGTGAACAAAACAAATATTCCTGCCCTCTTGAAGCTAACATTCTAGTTGGAGGAGTTAAATAGTAAACACATGAGCAAAATGTTTATGTTCCCCTGGTTAGTACTGTGGAAATAGAAAACAGGGAATAGAATTAAGGGATGGGGATGGCATGGGTAGTAAAGTAGGGAGGAAGACTGTAATTTTAAGTAGGGTATCCAGGGACAACCTCACTTAGGAGGTGACATTTGAGCAGTTGTAGGAAGGAGGTGAGGGAAGGAGTGAGCTGTGTAGAAGTCTGCGGAAGAGAGTTCTAGGCAGAAGGGACACTAGTGCCCAGGGAGTGCGAGGACTGTGTCTTTACAGGTCACCATGAGGGCTTTGGCTTTTAGTTCAAGCAGTAGTGTGAGGTTTGGAGTATAAAAGTGACATGAACGGCTTATCCTGAGGGGAAATGTCTCCTGCTTCTGGCGTGGGGATGTACTGCTGAGGGAGCAAGGATGGGCCTAGGCAGAAAGCAGGTTAAGAGGCCACTGCAATAACCCATGCAAGAGAAGTGGAAGCCAAAGAGTGAGAAGTGGTCAGCTTGTATGTATTCACACGTCTTTTTAAGCGTTTGCTTGGTTGTCTCCTTTTCAGGGAGGCCTAGCCTGACCTTATGCTATTTAAAATTTGCAACTTACTTCTCATGCCAATAAATACAATATGGGTTTCTCAGAATTGTCCCATGGGCCTCATACCAATCAGTAGTCTCTCCCTCTTGTCCCAATGAGTCACTTGCCTTAACTTCCAATACCAAATATTTGTGTTTAAAATGTATAGAAATGGAATAATACAGTGAATGGAATAGATAAAATTCCTGTCCTCATGAAATTAATGTTTACTTCTGTTAGTGTCCTTTTCTTTCACTCAGTTATATGTTTGTGAAATTCATCCCCATTATTGCGTGGCTTTTTTTGTTTTTCTTTTGTTTTTTTTGAGACAGAGTCTCACTCTGTTATCCAGGCTAGAGTGCAGTGGCACATTCATGGCTCACTGCAGCCTTGACCTCCTGAGCTTAAGAGGTCTTCCCACTTCAGTCTCTGAAGTAACTGGGACTACAGGCACTTGCCATCATGCCTGGCTAATTAAAAAAATTTTTTTTGTAGAGATGTGGTCTCACTGTGTTGTCCAGGCTAGTCTTGAACTCCTGGGCTCAAGCAGTCCTCGTACCCTAGCCTCCCAAAGTGTTGGGATTGTAGGCATGAGCCATTGTGCTTGGCCCTATTACTGTATGTTTAACAGTAGTTTCTCCATTACTATTTCTGTGTGTTAGTCTTATAGTTATATACCATTATTTATTCTGCTCTTAGGTTGTCTCCAATTTTTGGCAGTTGCAACTTGCCAGTTACACATACAGATGTATAGTCTACCTGCAATTGATTTTTGGGTATTATTTGAGGAGGGGTCGTGTATCTTTCTTATCCTCTTGTTTATATCTAGTTGACCCTTGAAAAGACCTTCCTTGAAAAGACCATTCTTATCCTTTGTTATCATGTTTGTCATAAATTAAATATGGATCTGTGGATCTGTGCATCTGTTTCTGGACTCCCTTTTTTCAATTGACTCCCTTTTTGCCTATTTTTGGACCACACTGTCTTAATTACTGTAGCTTTATTTTAGGCTTGATATCTGGTAGTTCAAATTCTTTAGCACCTTTTTTTTTTAACTAGACTTTGCTACTTTGCTGTTATTTGCCCTTCGCATTTCTATTTAAATTTTAGAATCACCTTGTCAAGTACACACACACTCACCCACCCCCACGTTTACTGGAACCTTGGGATTGAATTGATCTGTAGACCAATTTGGGGAGCACTAACATCTTTATACTGTTGAGTTTTCCAGTCCACTTATATGGTATATCTTTTATTAAATTTGGTCTGACTTAATTTCTCTCAACGGTGTTTTATAATCTCCTTTAGGAAAACCTTGCCCACCTTTCATTGTATTTGTTGCAAAGTATTTGATGCTATTTTAAGTATTTTTAAAAAAGTTTATTTTCCAATTGGTTTTTGCTAGTATATAGAAATAAGATAGATTTTTATATATTTACCATAAGATATATTTATCTTATGACCCTGCTAAATTTATCTACTAGTTCTAGCAGTTTTTTGTAGATTCTGTAGGATTTTCTACATGTAGTATGATGATGTTGGTGAATAAAGACTGGTTTGCATCTTTTTTCCCACTCTTTATGCCTTATATTTCTTTTCTTATTGTACTAGGGAAAAGTACACATGACTGTTCTGCTATACTGAAGGGACATGGCAAAAGCGGACATTTTGCTCTCCAAAGGGGGAGCATTTTCAGTGTTTTATCATACATGGTGATACTTGTTTTGGGTTTTTGTAGATCCCCTTTATCAGATGAAAAAACTGGAAGTTAGGGATTTTTGTCGGTTTTTTTCTTGGTATATTCCAAGTATTTAGGAATAATCTGTCACATAGGAGGTGCTTAATAAATATTTAAGTTAATGAAGAGGTGTGTGTGTGTGTGTGTGTGTGTGTGTGTGTGTGTGTGTAGAATTGATAAGATCTCTTGAAAGACGGGGGTGTGAAAAGAAATGATTCAAGGGTGACTAACTCAGATTTTGGCTTGAGGAGCTAGAAGGATGAAATCCTCAGTAACTGAGACAGAGAAAACCTCAAGTTTTGGGGATAGGTCAAGAGTTTAGATGTGGGTTTGTTGGAATTTAAGGTGATAAGTATATATTCAAGGACCAACATATGAAATGGTGAATATACAAGTCTGGAGGTCGGGGAAAAGTTCTGTGTGTGAGTCGTTAGCTCAAAAATGGATTTTTAATGTTGAGAATTATTGATCTTGACTAGTAGAATTTCTTTTTATGGTGTCATTTTGTTTAAGTATACAGTAAACCTTTATCATTCCAAAGCTGAATTTTCTCTTTTATGGGAAAGCCAGACCTTATTTCTTTCTTCTTTCTTTGACCTCTTTTTGGTGTGTTTTATTTCACATTTACACAAAGAATATAGCTATTTGCTATAGAGCTAATAGCTTTGATGGCAAAAACATATTGGCTGTGATAAGCATTGTATTTAAGAACATTTTACTTTCATAATCTTTATTCTAGATCCTTTTTTTTATAGCTTTAATACCATAATAGTTATTTTTATGAATATTTAAATTTTGTTATGTCTTGTTTCTCACAATTAACAGAAGTGTGTTTTACATTGTTTCTCAAAATACATTTTTAATTAGTTTCTGAGTTCAAAGGCATACTTTTCAATGAAGTGATTAAAAAAAGTAGGTATCTTAACAAGATGTCTGTTTGCATTCCAACTTTACTGTAACCATGAATTTTTTTTTTTTAGAGGTAAGAGAAACAGATTTGTTATTGAAAGTTATAAAATGATTGTGTTATTCTTTTAGGTGAAATTGCGAAATACATGGAAACAGTGAAATTACTAGACTACACTGAAAAACCTCTTTATCAAAATTTGCGCGATATTCTTTTGCAAGGACTAAAAGCTATAGGAAGTAAGGATGATGGCAAATTGGACCTCAGTGTTGTGGAGAATGGAGGTTTGAAAGCAAAAACAGTAACAAAGGTGAATTTTGTTATTAAATTATTCTTTGGTCTTGTGTTTATAATTGCAACGAATACTAACTTTAAGAAAGTACAGCAATTTTTCAATGAAGAAAAATAACAGATTGCATGCCAATTAAGGCAAACACTTTTTATAATACAGAACAATGTGTAGAGGTTTATAGAAAAATATATATTTATATATTTCTTACGTTTTGTAGCAAGTTTTAAATTCCTGAAATGATTTTAACTTGGAATACTTATATCTGACAGAGAAATTCTGATGAGACACTGAATTCATAACTTATATGCTCTCTTCTCCCAAGTCACCCCTTAGGGGGTTCATCTTGTCTCAGGTTGTTCCTTATTCGTGGATATGGTCAAAGTGTTTACTAGTTGAAAATGGGCATGGGCATTTGAAAATTTCCTTGTTTGTTGGTGTGGTGTGTTTTACCATTTGAACGTTATTTTGCTCTGTGAAGAAATATCATTATGTAAAGCTGTATATCAGCAGATAAGGGGATTAATTGTTTGGAGAGAAATGTTAAATAATGAACTTTATGGTAGAAATATTATACACGCATGTAAAGAAGTGGCATCACTTTAGATTTTACAGGTATGCATTAACTTTGATTTGCTAGTGCTTATTTTTGATAATTACTTACTGATTTCCTTTATGATCTATATTATTAATAAAATGTGTTAGCTTTTATGTGAGGAAGGAAAGCGACTTTTTAGGAAAAAAAAATTTTGTTTTACATTATTAACCATTTTTATTGTCATTAACTTTGTAAATTCTAGTAGATTTCTTTGGAAATCTCATATTCCAAACTGAGAAAAAGGGTTAAAACAAATTTTTCTCTCTTTAAAATCAGAAGCAGCATATTTAAAATTGTTCATCTTTTCAATTCACAAAGGAGATAGGAATTTCAAAATTGGACCAAGAATTTGACTTTCTTTGGCAAATAACAGGTCTCTGTAATTACTTTCATCAAAAAATCTGAAATTATATACATGCATCCACATATACCTCTTTTTCTTGGACAAGCTTTGTCTTAATTCCATCTGCTCCAGTTTTGTGGTGAAAGCCATGTTTGAAATGAAGAGGGTAAAGTGGAAGCCTGAGTGGAATTTTTTTAGTAAGGTATTAGAGTAAACTTACTCTTTGTGTACATGCATAAACGAACAGCATGGCTTTGCTCAGGATATATTTCTCTGCATTAATATTTATAGCTAGCTTGTATAATGTTTTTCTCTAAAATTTTATTGATTGAGAAGTAAAGATTTCTTCTTCTATATGAGAACTTGCCTAGAGCAGCCACCTCCCGGCTCTCAGCCCTCCACCTCTCTGCCCCCGCCCCTGCCTTCCTTTGCAAATCCCTGTTGTTTGGACCTACATGCTGGAGAAAATTTAGTTTCTGCAGGTTGGCTGACTTTACAGCTGAGTAGGTCAGTCTGCTGCAGAGCTAACATCTGTGGCCTTATAATTCTCTTGTGTCCTTGGATAGTTCAGAAGGCTAGCAATTTTCTGTTGGATCATCCCCTACATGTATAAAGCTTCTTTTAGGGGAAAAAATGAATACTAAGTTGAACAAGTTGTACTATTAGAAGGTTTACTTCGTTAGTTTACTGCTTTTTGCATACTCATTGCTGACACAGGGTTATTCTTTGTATTAAAAAGAAATTAAAAGTTAAGGTAAGGGTAGGTAACATCATAAAGCTGCTTGATAGCCATGTAACTGAAATGAGTTATTAATTTTGTTGGCGTTTTGGTTTTGTTTGTTTGTTTGTTTGTTTGTAAAGTGAAAGAATTGGACCAGACCAGTGTCTTTTTAAGCTTTTCTTTTAAACTGCAGAACATTTTCTTCAAATAAATTGTAAATGCTCTCATTGAAACCAGATAAAAGCAGAGCTCTGCTGGATGAGAAGTTAATTTAGGGGGGTCCCTACAAGGAAAAGCTTTCTCCTTTGAGCAACTAGCTTGCTGTCTCTTTTTCAGCAAGATCTATGACCCAGATGTCTTTTTTTGCTCTGCATGTCAGGAGGCTCAAAACTAAGTATGATGCTTAGTTCTAGAAACTTTGTTAAATTTTTGTAATTAGTACATTTGTTCCCTCTCTTTTTCTTTGTCATAATTTTTTAAAGTGTAAAGTATATTTTCTTTGTATATATCAGAGTCAGATCTGTTTTGGAAAAAAGTAGGCTTAATCAGTTTAACATTTATCAATAATGTAAAAGGTTCCTAAGAGATTTTCTTTTTGGTAAAAACCTACAGGAATTGATCAACAATGGAATGAAGCAAGGTTTCTTGTCTGTTTTTTTGCAGCCATGCTTGATTATGGTGCAGTATATTTGGAAACGAGTGAAACATGAATTTACCTACTTGGAAATGTTAAATGTTTTCTGCTTAATAATCAAGGAGTTTTATTTAAAGCGTAGAATTTTGGGATGGTGTAAGGCTAAAGAAGAAGAAAGAGATCAAGTATAAATCTGCTTTCAAAAAGTACAAAGCCAAATATTTTTATTGTTGATTAGAACTAAACACTTTTCAGTTTTTAGAATCTGGCAGTACAGTGCAACAGTTACTGGATTCAGTGTATACTCATAAATTAACATTCAACAATTATGTAAAAGGTCTAATTTACCTACCTGATGTAGGCTAGGTCTCTGGGGCTACAAAGATCAATGACATGTAGTCCCATCCTTAAAGAATTCCTTCCTGTTCCATCTGGGTTAAGAACAGCGTAATTTACTGGAAAGAGCTCGGCAAGTTAAAAGGACATTAACACCTCCATTAACTATTTTCTTTTAGGATTTTAAGTTGCCTGCCTAAATCAACAAAAAAGTTTTTGTTTGGAATCTCATCCCTGGAAAGTTCTTGAGTAGGTCTAGATCATGGCCTTGCAATTTGTATTTTATTTTGTTTTTCAGACAGTCTATATTGTTACTCCCTATGAATGATATCCACATACCTTTCTTTCCTTCTCCTCTATTTTACCTCCTAATTTTTAAATTTTTAAATTTTATTTTTCTGGCTGCATTATGCTAATTGGCCTTTCTAGAGTTTCCCTGAAAAAAATCATTAACTATTGTTAAATAAACCCTTACTGGCACTCAGCCTGGAACAGGGTACAAAGAGTTGAATAAGAGCAAAGCCCTTCCATTGCAAATCAGTAGCCTGCAGCTGCTCTGGTGGATGGCTTTCTTCCTTTCTTTCTGAGGGGATTATACCTCATACAGTCTTTATACCATGTAGCCTATAGTTTCAGTCGAGTTGCCCTGAATGTACCCTCTAAATTTTGGGAAAAATCTATTTGGCTATTTTAGCCTGATACTGTAATAAAGATAAACTGTATTTTAATTATATAAATTTAGATTGTTGAAGTTGATATATCTCTGTTTTCTAATGGTTTGATCGTAGTACTGTAGTTGAGTAGAGTCAGCATTTGCTAGCAGTTTTTTACTTTAGGTCTGTTACTGAGTTATTTTGAACTTCTTATTTGGCTGAATTTTGCCAAATGGCTTTTTTCCCCTAAATTATTAAGTGAAATTGTTACATATGTATAGAAAAGTGCAAGAATAAGGACACTTTTACAAAATACTCATTTAAACATCATCCAGATCAAGATTTGGATCATTGCCAGAATTAGTTTTGCCAGTTTTGGCGAAATTTATAGTAATGGTATATATCATGTACTCTTGTTTCTTTCATTTAGTTGTATCTCTGAATTTCCATGCTGTTCCATGTAACAAAAATTTGTTGTTTTTCATTGCTATATAGTATCCCATATGACTATCCCGTAATTTATTGACAGACATTCATATTGTTCCAGTTTTTGGTAGTTGTGATAATGCTGTTAAGAACATTATTTTAATTTTTTTGGGAAACATATACATTTATTTCAGGTTGCGTCTGTACATAGTGGGGTTGCTGCAGCATAGGGCTTACTTATGTTCAGGTTTTGTAGATACTGCCAGTTAGTTTTCAAAACTGCTGTCACAGCTTACATTCCTATCAGTAGCATAGGGGAGATCCAGTGGTTACTGACACTAGCTACTGCATTATATTTATTTTCACCTATTTTGGTGGATGTGCACTGATTTGTTTATGGTTTTAATTTAATCTCCTTGAAAAATACTGATTGAACATTTTTGTATGCCCACCAGCCTTGATAATCGTTTTTTTGATGAAGTACATTTCAAATCTTTTGCCTGTTAAAAAAAAAATTGGGATTGTCAGCTTTCTTTTGATTTGCCAGAGTTGAATACTTTATATGTATACAGTGTATGTGTTGCACATACCATCTTCCAGTTGGTGTTTCATCTTTGCACTCTTGATGTGGTATCTTTTGATAAATAGAAGCTCTTCATTTTAATGAAGCTCAGTTTATCAGTCTTTTTGTTTATGGTTAATGCTTTTTATATTCTTTTTGGGAATATTTTGTCTACTTTAAGATCATGAAGATATTATGTTATTTTCCAGAAATTTTATCCATCACATTTAGGTCTACAGTTTAACAGAAATTGATTTTGTGCATGGTTTGAGTCAATATTTGTTTTCCTTCTTTTGGTTATCTAGTTGATCTAAACCATTTGTTGAAAAGACTGTCCTGTCCTTACAGCATTGCAGTGGGCTCTCAGGTAACCCATGTGTGTTTGAGTGTCTTTCCGGATACCCTATTCTGTACCATTGGCCTGCTTGTCTGTTTTTGTGCCAGTGCCACACTGTTTGAACTATTGGCTTCATAATGATATCTGCTAGCATACGTTCTCCAGGTTCCTGTTTCTTTAACATTGCCTTTGCTATGCTTGGCTCTTTGAATTTACATATAAATTTTAGAATTGGCTTATTGGTTTCCACGAAAAATACTTTTGGGATTTTGACCGAAATTGCATTTACTCTATGGAGCAATTTGGAAAGAATTGACATCTTCTCTTCCATAGATGTAGTAGGCCCCTATAATTATTTAGATGTTCTTCCATTTATCTCAGTTGTGTTTGTAGTTTTCTGTGTCTGTAGAG